ATATTTTTGCATGTGTCTGTCCAGTTTTCCTGGTACCATGTGTTGAAGAGACTGTCTTTACTCCATTGTATGTTCTTGCTTTCTTTGTCAAATATTAATTGACCATATGGTGTGGGTTAATTTCTGTGGTCTCTGTTCTGATTCATTGGTCTATATGCCTGTTCTTGTGCAAGTACTAAGCTGTTTTAGTTATAATGGCTTTGTAGTATAGTTTGATATTTGGTATCACAATACTCCTACTTTGTTCTTCTTTTCCAAGATTGCTGCAACAATTCAGGGTCTTTTATAGTTCCATATAAATTTTTAAAGTATTTGTTCTAGCTCTGTGAAGTATGCCTTTGGTATTTTAATAGGGATTGTGTTGAATCTGTAGATTGCTTTGAGTAGTATAGATATTTTAATGATGTTAATTCTTCAATCCATGAATATGGTATATGCTTCCATTTGTTTGTATTTTCCTCTATTTCTTTTTTCAATGTCCTATAGTTTTCCAAGTACAGGTCTTTTACCTCCTTGGTTAAGTTTATTTTTAGGTGTCTTATTTTTTTCATCGTTATAATGGTAAATGAAATTGCTTTTTTAGTTTCTCTTTCTGAGAGTTTATTATTGGTGTATAAAAACGCTATCAATTTGTGGATGTTGATTTTGTATTCTGCTACCTTGCCAAATTCATTTATTAAATCTAGTAGTTCCTGGTGGGTTCTAGGGTTTTCTATATACAGTACCATGTCATCTGCAAATAATGAGTTTTACTTTCTCCTTCCATTTTGGATGCCTTTTATCTCTTCTTTTTGTCTGATTGCTGTGGCTAGGACTTACAGTACTTCCTATATAATAAAAGCCTAATATGCAAATAGACCAAATGGTGGGATGACCAGTGGAACCACTGGTTGCTTTGATATACACTGACCACCAGGGGGCAGATGCTCAACACAGAAGCTGCCCCAAGACCAAAGGCCCCAGGCCAGCCAAGGTGGGTGCCAGTGGGGGCCCCCAATCACCCTGCAGATTGGCCCTGATTGCCAGCCAGGCCTAGGGACACTACCCATGCATGAATGTTATGCACTGGGCCTCTAGTGTTGAATAAGAGTGGTGAAAGTGGGCATTCTTGTCTTGTTCCTGTTCTTAAGGAAAACACTTTTAGTTTTTGCCCATTGAGTATTATGTTTGCTGTAGGTTTGCCCTATATGGCCTTTATTATGTTGAGGTATGATTCCTTTATTCCCACTTTTCTGAGTTTTTTCATTAAAAAAAAAAAAAGGTGCTGGATTTTCTCAAATGCTTTTTCTGCATCTATTGATATGATCATGTGGTTTTTATCTTTTGTTTATGTGATGTATCACATTTATTAATTTGCAAATATTGTACCAGCCTTGCATCTCCAGTATAAATTTCACTTGATGTGGTATATGATCTTTTTAATATATTGCTGGATTCAATTTGCTAATACTAGTATTTTGTTGAGGATTTTAGCATCTGTGTTCATTAGGGATATTGGCCTGTAATTTTCTTTTTTTGTAGTGTCTTTATCCAGTTTTAGAATTAGGATAATTTTGGCTTTATAAGGAGCTTGGAAGTGTTCCTTCCTCTTGAATTTTTTTGAATAGTTTGAGGAGGATGGGTGTTAGTTCTCCTTTGAATGTTTGGTAAGATTCACCTATAAATCCAGGACTTTTGTTTGCTGGAAGATTTTTAATTACTGCTTCAATTTCATAGTTGTTATTGGCCTACTCAGGTTCTCTGATTCTTCCTGATTGAGTTTTGGAAGATTGTATGTTTGTAGGAATTTGTCTATTTCACCCAGGTTGTCCAATTTGTTGGCATGTAATTGTTCATAGCATTTGCTTACAATCCTTTGTATTTCTGTGGTGTCTGCTGTTATATAACCTCTTTCATTTCTGATTTTTATCTAATTGGGCCCTCTCTCTTTGTTTCCTGATGAGTCTGATTAGGAGGTTCATCAGTCTTGTTTATCTTTTCAAAGAATCAGCTCATGGATTTATTGATCTTTTGAACTGTGTTTTTTTTTTTTTTTTTTTTTTTAATCATTTATTTCTGCTCTGATCTTTATTATTTCCTTCTACTTCCTCTGGGTTTTTTTTTTTTTTTTTTTTTTTTTTTTTTGTTCTCTATTCATTTAGTTGTAGGGTTAGTTTATTCTCCTTGCTGAGAAGTCCAAGATGGTGTCTGTGGTGGGGACCCAAACTGCTGTTTCTGACTAATTAGATCAGGCAGACTCACAGCCTCCAGAGAATCACCTCCATCTACAGTCGGTCTACAGACCAGATTGAGTCTGGAGTAGCCTCAAGCAATTGCCCAAAGGTGGGGTGAGAGGTTTTCCGACAGGGTGGAGCAGCTGCTTCTGCCTGGAGGCTAATTGTTATTCTCAGTCTCTTGATGAACCTCAGAACTCCAGGGTAGGGCAAGGGATTTCCCAATAGGGTTGATTCAACTCTGCCCTCCCTCTGCCAGAGCACAAGGTGAGTGGCTGAGTTTGAAATTTTGTGTGTTGGCCCTTTAAGAGGGTCCCTGCATTTCCAATAATCCCTCCCTGGCAGACAGCAACCCTGCTGCTTTTCTCAGCCAGGTGTTATTGGGCACCTTTCTCAGTGCTGGTGCTCTGCTGGGAGGCCCAGCCTGGGGGTTAGACCCCAGAATTCTCAATGGCAACCCCCCCACAGCTGAGATCTCTCCAGAACTTCAGCTGCTGTCTGTGGGAGCCCAGCCATTCCTTTCTCACCTCCACCCTTCCTATTAGTCTCTATGCAGTCTTCACTTTCTGCCCTCGGTTATCAGGGTTCTCTCCAGCTAGTCTTCAGTTGATTATTTAGGTTTTTTTGTTTGTTTGTGTGTGTGTGGGTGTGTGTGTGTGTGTATTTTAGTTACAATTCCAGTTTGGTCCTGGGAGCATGTCTGTGAGCTTCCACTTCACTGCCGTTTTTAATCTCCTAAGACATAGATTTAAAACAAACTAGCACTGAGAAATAATATGCTTCATGTTAAATGCCCTTGAATAATTCCTGTAGTCCTAGCTGGTTTGGCTCAGTGGATAGAGCATTGGCCCATGAACTGAAGGGTCCTGGTTCGATTCCCGTCAAGCGCACATACCTTGATTGTAGGATTGATCCCTAGCCGTGGTAGGGCCACATGTGGGAGGCAACCAATCGATGCGTCTCTCTCACATTGATGTTTCTCTGTCGCTCTGCCTCCCTTCCCCTCTCTCTAAATATCAATGGAAAAACATCCTTGGGTGAGGAGTAACAAAAACAAAGCAAAACAACTCCCCTCCCCCAATAGTTCCTATATAATAACAAAGAAATAATTCTTGCCTACTTAATTTCTGAAGTGTAAAAAGCACAAATACGGTGGTCATAGATTAATCCTCATCATGCAGGATGAGCACACCTGGATGGATGTATCTGTCAAACCCATGGGACTCTACACAGAAGATGTGTGCTTCACCATAAATTAACTAAACATCTCTTAAGAGGAAAAAAAAAAATACCAGGACTACGTTTCACATAAGGCAGGACTTCAAATCTGGGAAAGGGGAACTGGACACAGGCAGAAACCCACTGGCTCATTGCACCACCGAGCCATTCCTGGAGCTCCTGCCACCCTGAGCTTCTAGCCAGTGGGCACCTCCTTGGGGGAGCTGAGCTGGGGCTTGGGGGATGGATGTGGCAGCCTAATTACCAAGGAGCTGGAGGAGACACACATGGGTTTTCCAGTATTTGAGCCGAGTTTTTCCTGTTTCACTGAGGTGTGACGTGCATGTATGAAGTGTGTCAAGTGCACTATGTCTCAAGTATAAGCAGATGGTTGCCTGCGTGGACAGCTGCTGTGGAACCATGACCCTGATCGACATTCCCAACTTCCCCTGTACACCCCGTCTTGACCCCTTTCCAGTACCACGGCACTGACCTGTTGCCCCAGACTTGTTTTCCTGTCCTGCGAGTTCATATAACGGAGCACGTGGCATATATTCCTTTGGGCCCCTCATCTATGTCTGAGGTTTACATTGCTGCACATCCCCACAGTTCATCCTTCACTGGCTGTGTCCTCTGCGTGAATTTACCCGCCGATGGCCCCTGGGGTGGTTTAGTTTCTGTCTGGTCCGAGCTGGGAATATTTTATACACATCTTCTTGAAGAGACTGGCATCCTTATGGGTATACTAGTCTATCTAGAAGTGGAATTGCTGCGATATGTGGTAGCTGAGATGTGTGCTCATCTTTACTGGGAACCGCCAAATGGTTTGCCACATGGTTGCACCATTTTTACCCTCCTTCCCTCCCCGCCCCCCAACAGCAGTGTCTGAGATTTCTGATTGAACTTTTTCATGTGGATGCCACATCCCCTTGGTTGACAATCAGGATTAAAGGGCATCTCCCAGCCAAGCTAGTGTGGCTAAGGGGCTGAGTGTCAACCTATGAACCAGGAGGTCATGGTTTGATTCCCGGTCAGGGCACATGCCTGGGTTGTGGGCTTGATTCCAAGGGGGGAGGGGGAAAGTAATGCAGAGGAGGCAGCCGATCAATGATTCTCTCTCATCGCTGATGTTTCTTTCTCTCCTTTCCTCTCTGAAATCAATACAAAAACATGCATTTTTAAAAAGGACATCTCTCTCCAGAGACGACCACCCGAGCTCCAGACCTACCAGAGATGACAGTGCCTCTCTCAGGCGCTCACTGCAGCCAGTTCTGCCATGAGACAGTGTGAGGGCCCAAATCTCCTCTGCTGATTAAACCCAGTTTTGCTGGAACAATTAAGATCAGAATTGCCCTGGTCAGGTGGCTCCGTTGGTTGGAGCGTCGTCCCATGCACCCAAAGGGTGTGGGTTCAATCCCCAGTTGGAGCACAAATGGGAGGTAAGTGATATATGTTTCTTTCATATGTTTCTCTTCCTTCCTCTCTCTCAAAATCAATGAAAGGGTGAGGATTAAAAAAGAAAAAAAAAAAAAGGGCTCCACATCCTACCGTCTAATAAAAAGACTTGACTAAGATGTTAACAATCCTTTAATGGATGCAGGTGGGTTTTACAGGGATGGAAGCTGATGAACCACTTGCCCAAACCACCGTGATTACTTGCCATTTCCAACCCGGATAGCAGCCAGAAAGACATGCATGTAAGGAACAGCATGATCCCTCGGCCCAAGAGGTTCCCGGGGATTCTTACCTTCCGTCTCCTCCCCTGAGGACCTTCTCCGGGGGAATGGACGCTCAGGAGGGAGAAGGGGCCGGGGGTGGAGGACGGGGGTGTCCCACCACAGCAGGGCACAGGGGAGTGCTGCGAACCCCACACCCCAGAGGCAGTGAGAAGACACGAGGGCACAGACCCAGGGCAGGCCTGCTCAATAAATACACACACGCACACACAATTCCCGGAAGCCGCCACGGGGGACAGCGGGCACGGGGACACGGAGCTTGGGGGGGGGGGGGGGGGGGGGGGCTGGCTACGTGCGGCACACCAGCACGTCGGCGAAGGGCCCGAGCAGCAGCTTGTTGAAGATGCAGCGGACCCACACCAGGTAGGTGGTGGAGGGCTTGATGTTCTCGGTGAAGGTGTGGTTCCGCAGGGCCAGCATGTACGGCACGTAGGAGTTCTCCCCCTGCTCCTGCAGCCATACCTCGTACCGCACCTCCCGCACCTTCAGGAACTTGAGGTTCCAGGGGACCTGCCAGGAGACGGTGAGGCGGGCCTCCGAGGCGCCCTGCACGGCCGCCCGGCACCGCGCCTCCCGCACCTTCCCCGGGTACAGGCTCACCGCCTGCTTCTCCTTCTGCTGCTTCCGCGGCCCCGGCCGGCCCTTCACCACACGCCGGATGGTCTGGATGAGGGACGGGATGTCCACCTTGGTGTCCTGGTAGATGCGGAACAGCCACTCGGGGTTCCGGCAGCAGAGGTGCTGCGGGACCTCCCGGCTCTGCAGGATGCGGGCCTGCTCGGCCGGGTCCAGGTGGGCGATGCCCCCCTCGTCCCAGGGCCGCGTGGGGTGCGTGACCGTGTTCTCGGGCGCCGTGTTCCGCCAGGCGACGTAGCCGAGGTCCATGCCGGGCAGCGTGGCCAGCGTCTTGTACGGGGTGTAGTGGTCGGGGTTGACGGCGTAGGGGAAGAGCTCCACCAGGGTGGCCCCCCGGGGCAGGAAGAGGGCGGTGACCAGCTGCGCGCCGTGCATGCTGACCAGCATGGAGGCGTTGCTGACCAGCCGCACCACGTCGGCGAAGGCGTGGTCCTCCAGGGACACCGTCACCGTCTTCATCTGGAACTCCCGGGCCAGCGCCAGCAGCAGCTCCGCCTCGTTCAGGATGAGCCGGTTCTGGGTGCGGCTGAAGACCAGGATGTACTCCTCGCCCAGCGGCCGCCCTGCGGGGGCCTGGCTCGCGTTGAGCTTGTCCACCACGAACCGCGCGAACCGCCGGATCTCCTGGCCCGAGACCAGGATGTTGGCCTTGGGGCCCTGGGGCTGGACGAAGCCGTACTGGTACCAGGTGGTGGTCTTGGAGAGGCCCACGACCGCCCGGGGGAAGCACAGCAGCCGGCCCAGGGCCTTCAGCTGCGCCCGCACCAGCGGCGGCTTGGGGCTGAGCAGCTGGTAGAGGGCGTCGTAGTGCGCGCCCTCGGGCCAGCCCTCCATGAAGACCAGCCGGGCGCCGCGGGCCAGGCCGGGGAACTGGCGCAGCGTGTAGAACAGGGGCAGCAGGTCGTCGTGGAAGACGTGCATGAGGTTGTCCGGGTTGAAGCGGTTGGCGATGAGCGCCACGTCGGGCAGGAACACGGGCCTGGGCAGGGAGCGCAGGGCGGCGGCCGGCAGCTCCAGGAAGTTGAAGTACTGGGCGTTGTGGTCCTCCACGGAGGACAGGTCGAGCAGGGCGGGCTGGAAGCGCCGCGGGCCCAGGTTGGGCAGCATCACGGAGGCGTTGCCGTGGAAGAAGAGGAACTCCTCGGCCTCGCTGGAGTAGCAGAGCCACTTGAAGCGGCAGATGCGGTCGGTGTGGGTGCGGCCGGTGCACACCATGCGCGTGCCGCCCTCCGCCAGGCTCTGCAGCGCCTTCGGGTAGTCGACGGGCTGGGCCGAGGGGGCCTGGCGGCCCGGGGCCAGCTCCTCCTCCAGGGCGGCAGCGTGCTCCCGCAGCCGCACGTGCTTCCACAGCACGGCCGCCAGCACCGACACCAGCAGGGCGTTGAGCACGGCCGAGAGCTGCATCCTGACGGCCCTAGTGAGGCGACGGTCCCCGGTAAGTGGCCCCGGCCTGCCGGGCTTCAGCCATCCCTGCGGCACCCTGAGCGCCGGCCGGCCATCGCCTGCGGGAAGGAGGAGAAGAAACGGCTGTTGGCGCAGTCTGTCTGCGGTCGCCTTAAGCTCCTGCTCCGTGCCAGGCACCGGGCTCGGCTCCTGTCCCAGCTACGGGGGACCCGGCACCATGAGGCACACTGGCAGCACAGCGAATTAGACTGTTATTCGAGAGGACTTACTCCTGCCAGCCAGCGTGGCTCAGCGGTGGAGCATCCACCTATGAACCAGGAGGTCACGATTCGATTCCTGGGTCAGGGTACGTGCCCAGGCTACGGGCTTGATCCCCAGGGTGGGGTGTGCTGGGGCCAGCCGATCAATGATATTCTCATTCTCTCTCTCTCTCTCTCTCTCTCTCTCTCTCTCTCTCTCTCTCTCTATATATATATATATATATATATATAATATATATAAAATCGTTCTCTCCCCCTCCCCCTTTCCCTTCCTCTCTGAAATCAATTAAAAAAAAATACTCCTCACCAAACGGGCTTGGCTCAATGGATAGAACGTCAGCTTGGGGACTGAAGGGTCCAGGGTTCGATTCCGGTCAAGGGCATGTACCTTGGTTGCGGGCATATCCCCAGTAGGGGGTGTGCAGGAGGCAGCTGATCAATGACTCTCTCTCATCGATGTTTCTAACTCTATCTCTCTCCCTTCCTCTCTGTACAAAATCAAAATATATTTCAAAAAATAAAAAAATAAAATACTCCTCCCCACTGCTTCCAGGGTACAGTACATATCTCTCTACCTTGGCTTTGGGCTTGGCCACTTAACTTGCTTTGACCAAAAAGGAAACAATGAAGAGTCAAATAAATCACTCATACAAGTGACAGGATTCTGCAAAGTGAATGAGTCATAAATCGGTATTCAGAAAAAATAAGCCCTTCCTGAGGGGGTGAGAGGCAGATGTGTGGGCATGAGCCGATGCACGTGTTGCTCTGATCACAGACAAGAACGGCTTCCAAGAGAAATGAAAGCTAAAAGGAACACACCCAGGGAATATCAGAAAGCAAGGCCCCCAGGAAAATGAGTCGAGGGGAGAGGAAAGACCCACCTCCAACCGGACTGGGCATCTCAGCCCCGGTCCTCACATCTCTCGTGAGCATTCTGCTACCTGCCCCTCCGAGGTGCCCTGTGGTGAAGGCAAGCTTGGCCAGAAGGGATGTGGGGGGGGTGGTGGTGGTGGTGGTGGGGGTGGCGGTTCTCTCTCACACCGGGGGGCTGGGTGAGCAGTGGCCAGTCAACTGAGCTCAGGCCCTGGGCAATGCTTATAGGAGCCAGGCGTGGAAAGGATGGTCTGCTGGGGATGGGCACCACGTCCTGCTGGACAGTGTGGTGTTCACGTGCCTACATTTCTAACCTGACCCCTCAAGCCAGGCAGCCTGCACCAAGGTCTGATGGGAACAAATGCAGACACCATCCTCCCGGGGGGGGGTGGAGGGGGGTGGGAGAGAGGGAGGGGGGAGAGAGAGCTTGGGTCCTCTAAGTTCTAATCAGCTGCCCACAGTGGTAACAGGCCTGACACACACCCTGTCCCCTTCCCTGTCTCCCTTCTTCACTCCCCCATTCGTGGTCACTGGAAACGAGTGCAAATTTTACACCCGAGTCCTTTCAAGACAAAGCATGGTAGAGGAAGACTGTTTTTCAAAGGAAAGGGGGTGGGGGGGAATAAGGGACTAGAATATGCCCAAGAACGCTCTGCCAGGCAGACAGAGGGATGCTGCCAGTTCATTCCCCAAACTGCTTCGCTCAGCTCCTGGACCGCCATGGGGAACCCCTTCCAGGATCCACCTGTTCCAAGAGGCTCTGAGGTGGGTGTTCCGGATGCTGCCACGCCTGCAGGCACAGTAAGAGTTGGGCAGCCGGGGTGCGGGTGCCACCCGCCAGGGGGCCCACCACCTGAGGCTGGGCATCTGGCTCGGGAGGTGGGGTGCGTGCCGGCCAGCTGCACACACAGGCTCAGGCGTCATTCACAGGGGCCTCGGCATCTGATAAGGAGTGAAGGCTCCAAGGAGTCTAGGCCTAGAGCAGAGAGTACAAACTCACAGGCTTACTGGCACCAAGAGCCCGATGGGAGAGTGAAGCCAGGGGTGGCTGTGTGACCCAGAGACCGAACTCCCGGGTGGGAGCTCAGGAGCATGAGGGGCTGGCATTAGTCTGGTCGGGCGGCCGTAACGCAGTGCCGCTGCCTGGGCGGCTTAACCCACAGACACGTCCTTTCCCCCAGTCCCCGAGGCTACAAGGCGTTGGCAGGTTTGGTTTCTCCCGAGGCCTCTGACCTTGGCTTGCAGACGGCCACCTTCTCACTGTGCCCAGAGAATGACACCTCTGGTCTCTCTTCCTCTTCTCATGAGGACACTGGCCCTGCCAGACCCTTACGCCCTCATTTAACCCTCATGACCTTAAAGGCCCAATCTCTGAATATAGTCCCCTCGGGGGGGTCGGGCTTGATCATATAAATCTGTGGGAACACAATTCAGTCCATCACACTACTCTGCTGGTCTTTCCAGGAAGCCAGAAATCCACTAAACATGTCAGTTGTGCCCAGCCGGTGTGGCACAGTGGTTGAGCATCACCCTGTGAACCAGGAGGTCACAGTTTGATTCCTCGTCAGGGCACCTGCCTAGTTTGCAGGCTTGATCTCCAGGGTGGGGCATGTAGGAGGCAGTCGGTCGATGATTCCCTCTCATCATTGATGTTTCTACTTCTCTCCTCCCTCCCTTTCTACAATCAATAAAAAATAATATTTTTAAAATGTCAAATGTGCTCACTTATAACTTATGGCAACTATTCAAGTTGAATGAGAATGCTATGTAGGCCCAAGAGCTGGGACTGCTGGCCTCACCTGCGTGCCCACCTGCAGGACAGCCAGACCGGCGGCCGGCCACTGGTCACCCCTCCAGGAGCGGGCTGCAGGACACCCTGCAGGACACCAGGCCAAGACGGTGCCCACACGAGGTCTTACATAACTTTCTAACCATCTTACTTCCAAGGGCTGTGCCTGATTCTCATTGAAAAGTATAACCTTCTTTTGCCATTGAGAAGTGTGTTTATCCTAAATCAGGGGCCGGCAAACTCATTAGTCAGCAGGGCCAAAGATCAACAGTATAACGATTGAAATGTCCTTTGAGAGCCACATTTTTTAAACTTAAACTTCTTCTAACGCCGCTTCTTCAATAGACTCGCCCGGGCCGCGGTATTTTGTGGAAGAGCCACACTCAAGGGGCCCAAGAGCACTGCCCTGGATACAGCCTGAAGGGCTGGTGCTGAACCATGGAGGCTCTCCCTCTGCACGGACATGTCTCACACACTGTTAATAGAGTGCAAACAAGTTCTGATAGCTCACACGTCCTCAGAATGACCTCTCCCCTAACCCCCCTCCCTCCTGCCTCCTCCGCTAGTGTTGCTGGAGGCAGCATATAAGGTGGAGACTGGCACCATACTGCTCACATGTGTCGCTATGTTAGACAAACAGTTACAGGTGTTTTGAGCGGAGTATCTGTCAGGACGTTGGCAGCCTCTGAGTGCTCCTTGTAAAACTTCACGCTTCACTGGGCAAGAGTAGTTAGCACTCAGCTAAGAGTCCTCCTCGCTCCGGAGTCAAGGGCAAAGCTCAGCCACATTAACAGCCGGTGCTGTGACTCGACTTCCTTATCAACACACAGGTAGGCAACACCTTCAGAGAGGGGGACCCCAAGAGAACTCTGGCGAGATGTGTGACTGGCGGAGGACAGCCAAGACTCTGAGGTTCTCGGCACAGGCAAGTGTCGAGCAGGCAGAGGGGGTCCACCCTCGCCTGCATCCTTCTCACCAGGCACACCCTCCCCTCCCCCCAATGCAGAAGCCTTTGATCACACAGCTTCTCTACCATTACCTGGCTTTTGCTTGGCACGGTGATCTCTTGCAGGGTAGGCCGGCCTGTGTGGTCCTCTCTGGCCTCAGAGCAGCGCCACGGCGCCCCCGTGTGGCCATGAACGGGGATGCATGCAGGGAACAGAATCCTGTGAGTCTGCTGGGATGCTCCCCCAGGTGACACAGAACATGCCCGCATCCATTTTCCCAGGTGACACTGCAAATTCCAATAAAAGCAGTCCTTACAGGGGATGCCCGGGTCCCAATGTGGACACACATCCCAGGGGCCCCTGGGTCCGGTCTGCGGGGCTGAAGCCTCAAGAGGATCCGAAGACAACTCGGTCACTGTAGGAAGCACAAAGTACTCCCTAGGACGTGGTAAGTGTGGGCAGCAGCACACAGGCGCCCCCAGGAAACTGCTGGCTGGGGCTGCGGCCAGCCAGGAAGGTGACATGGGGGGTAGCAGGGGGATGGGGGTTTGAGCAGGATTTTGGAGGTCATGGGGGATAGGATGAACAGCTCTGTTACATGTTGACATGTCCCCATGTGTAGCAATGACCACTCAGATCTCTGTCTACAGCAGGCATCACTGCCCAGTTATCACATCTGCCTGCCAAGCCAGTCTTGAAACCACTCGCTGTGGGCTCTTCATCCACCCTCGGGCAGAGGCGGCCAGACCCAAAGCCACGTGCAGCTGAGCGGGCCCTGCATTATGAGACAGGCAGAACCTGGGAGCTCAGGCTGCAGGGCAGCGCGGACCAAGCCAGGGGAAAGCAGGGGGAGGAAGCTCTAGGGACCCGGGTTTCACCGGTGGAGGCCCATGAGCTCAGGCAACCGCTTGTAAGGCCCTCTGCAGGCTAAGGTGGGCGGTCCCTGCCAGATCCCAGGGTGCCCAGAAGGTGGGTCCTCACCCTTTTCCTGTCCCCTTTCCTGTAGGCCTCACAAAAGCTCTCCTTGCCGGTACTCCGGTAGTATCATCTCCATCTTTTTTTTTCTTTAATCTTCACCCGAGGATATGTTTTCATTCATTTTAGGGAGAGAGAAACACATCAACGTGAGAGAGAAACTTCCATCGGCTGCCAACAGGGGATCAAACCCTGCAACCTGGATACGTGTCCTGACCAGGAACCAAACCCGCCCCTTTTTGGTGCACCGGACGATGCTCCAACCAGCCGAGTCGCCTGGCCAGGGCCAGGGGTCCTGCTCCCAGACTCAGAGGAACCAGTAGCGACAGAGAAGCAGGCAGCCCTCAGAGCAGTGAGTTTTATCACTCGGGGGCAGAGCAGCTGTGGAGCGCTCTGGGCCCAGGGCCCTCACCTGGAACTTCGCCACCCAAGGCTTCCTGGCCAGGCACAGCGCTACCCCCGTGGCAGGAGGCTCAGGGAGCAGGGCCATTCTCTCCCCCAGGGAAGTGTGGGTACACACTGCTGTGCCCAGTACCCGCCCTGCCCTAGGCCGTGCTGGGAGGGGTAAGCCACCAATTTAGGACTACAAAATCCCCCTTTTTAGGGCTAAAAGAACCCTGCGAGATGATGTGCTCCAGCTCGTTCTAGGAGAGGTGGAGGGAGGCAGTGTGAGCTCTCACAGGCGGCCGAGAGGCAAACAGCGGGGTGCCAGGTCCGGGGCTCCCCATCACCTCCCCGGCTCACGAGTGGCCCACCCCACAGCTCCGAGAGCCTTCCCAGCCCCGAAACAAGACAGCACGTCTCCTAACTGCGCTCTCCAGTCCTCCCCCGGACTGCACGTGGCTTCGGCTGCCTCTTCCTAACACTGCACCTCCCACATCACTCCCTGGGCGGGAGGATCCCTCTCCACCAGCCTCTCAGGACCTCCGACCGGGACAGGGCCTCCCAGGCAGCCAGGACCGCGGGGTCCCGCACACCCCCCCGGTCCTCACACGGAAGGCGGCCCCGGGCACACCCGTGCTCCACAAGCTGCACAGGCCGGACGGCCCGGGCTCCTGTTCTGCAGCCGAGATGCCAGGATATGAGCTCCCGGCCTGTTGCTTAGCAGCAGCGTGACCCTGGACCGTCTCCTCTTCTTCCTTCTGTCGCACAGCGGGCTGTGCGTGATTCATGTCTACGCCCGGATGAGCTCGGAGAGAAGTGCACACCCACGAAACCATCGGCATCAGCTATGCGCCAGAACCCACCCGTCATCTCCAAAATCTTCCTCCTCCTGCCCTCTGAGGGCTCCTTTTTGTGACAAAACGCGTCAGATCTATCCTCTTGGGAAGTGTTAAGCGTGTGATAATATATAAGCATTGCTACCTACCGGTCATTTGGACCCTGAGACGCTGCAGCCTTTGCCTAATGCCTCCCTGTGTCCCTCCCTCCAGCCCCTGGCAGCCGCCACCCCCGCCTCTGTGAGCCTGACGGCTTCAGACCCGTCATCTGAACGGTGCCGCACAGAGCTCGTTCCTCTACGCAGAACACACTGTGCCTCGGCGGATTCTTAACCCCTGCCAGCCTCCATTTCCTAGTCTGAGAAAGACGCAATTACGCCTCCTTCTCAGGGCGGCCTCACGCATTCAAAGGCACAGCACAGGCACAGCACCCTGCCTGACGCTACTGTTCCCGGCCTCGGCCACGGCAGGACAGCTCCACGCCGGGCGCATTTATTCTTTCCCACAAACCCACAGCAGGGGGGGCACCCTCCTTCACATCGGAGGACCCTGAGCTGCCCACTGTCGCGCCGCTAGGAAGTGATGGGGCTGGGGTTTGAGCCCGCGTCTGACTCCAAAGCCTCTGATGTCATTTGTAGGTCCCGCCTTTCGGGTTCATTATTTCACCCCATTTACCTACCCGTCATCTATTTATTTATTTTAGAGAAAGGGAGATGGAGAGAGAAACATTGAAAAAGCCTACCAAAGCCGAAACTGGTTTGGCTCAGTGGATAGAGCGTCGGCCTGCGGACTATGGGGTCCCAGGTTCAATGCCAGTCAAGGGCATGTTCCTTGGTTGCAGGCACATCCCCACTGGGGGGGCATGCGGGTGGCAGCTGATTGATGTTTCTCTCTCATCGATGTTTCTAGCTCTCTATCCCTCTCCCTTCCTCTCTGTAAAAAATCAATTAAATATATTTTTTTTAAAAAAAGGCTACCGAGTGCTGAGGGAGTCCAGGAGACTACCCACTGACACCCAGGTTGGGAGTGACCAGGATCCCTGGGGAAGGAGGCACCTAGTAACTCAATGTGCTGGTGAGCGCAGTCCGTCCACTAGCAGCCACTGCTCAGTGCTACACCTTCTCAAGCCAGGCTTAGAGCAAGGCCCGCTGGGAAGGGGCGGCACTGCTTGGACAGGACAGCCCGCCACACCGCGGCCACAGCGTGCCGGGGCCTTTATTCCCGCGTGGCAGAGGCAGAGCCAGGCTCCGAGAGGGTGCGTGCCTTGCTGAGGGGCACACAGCTGATAGCTATCAGGATCTGAATGGTTTGCACGTGTAACAGTCGACGCTTGGTGAAGGAATCCCGTTCTGTATTCTTATGCCACGTCCTGTCAAGCTCACCTGGTAACCCTCGCCATGCCCGGCTTGCTTCCCCCCAAGAGAAGGCTTTGCGAGCCGGCTGGCATAACCAGACCCAGGGTGCCCACCACCAAGTGCAAAGCTCTGGCCTGCGGACCTCGGCCCCTGGCACAGCACTTCCATCCCCGGAGGCTACGCAGGCAGCGTCAATCCCAGGCACACAGCAGGCCCTGCTGAACCCGTGGCCCGGGGGCGGGCGGCAGGCCTGTGCACGCACTGCCTGCACAGGGAGCTCCGGAGGCCAGGGGGCCAGGCCCTCCCCGCACACCGCACCTGGCTCCCGCCACGGCTTGGGGCCGCGATGCCGGTGCCTGGCCCCGCCACGGCACCAGGACGCTCAAGGGCCAAGTCCCCCGACCCCAGCCCCCTCCCGTGCCCACTGCAGCCCGCATCACACGTCATCCCTCCGTTCTGCAAACTCCCCCCGGCTCCCATGCACCCCGGGACCCAGCGGCCTCCTCGCCCCTCTCAGGGGGGTCCGGGGACCCATCCTCCACCTCCCAGCCAGGCCCCCGAGCCCCCGCCAGCCCCCAGCGCGCGGCTCACCTGCGGGAGGGGCGCCGCGGGGCTGGAGCCACCTCCGCGCCCGCGTCCAGGAGCGCGTTCTGCGGCGGCAGCTTCGGCCGAACCCGGCGCCAGCTCGGGCCTGGAGGCCGCGGCAGGGAGCGCAGGCAGCACCGCGCCCGCCGCCGCCGCCGCCGCCGCCGCCGCCGGGCTCAAGGGGGCCCGCCGCGCATCTGCCCCGCGGAGCCAGCCTGGCCGGAATTCTGGGAGTTGTAGTTCGGGTCCCGAGAACAGACCACCTCTTCCACCCGGGGGATCCTGGGAGTTGTAGTTTGCTCCCGGAGAGGTTGTTTTGCTTGGTGTTGAGTTTGTACAATTACGGGAGTCCTGATAATACATTTAAATGCTAGTTAAACCAACAACCACTCAGTGGATAGAGCGTCGGCCCGGGGACTGAACGGTCCTGGGTTCGATTCCGGTCAAGGACATGTTATAGGCACAACCTTGGTTACAGGCACAACCCCAGTTAGGGGGCGTGCAGGAGGCAGCTGATTGATATTTCTCTCTCATGGATGTTTCTATCCCTCTCCCTTGCTCTCTGTAAAAATAAAAAGTATTTCATAAATTTAATCACTAAGACCAATTCTCTATCCAAATCATAAAAAAACAAAGTTCGAGAACAACCAGATGGTGTTTATAAAATCAAAGTAAGTAATACATTCACATGCTTTAAACAGTGTAATATGACGAGGTACTTAAATACAAAAGCACCATTCCTCTTCAGCATCACTCCAATTTTGCCAGCCTCACCCTAATCCACCCGATCTGCCCAACTCCTTAAGGGTGACCAATCCTAACTCTCCCGGCTGCTGCATCTGGCATTTACTCCCAATGCTTGAAATATACACATGCCTCAGCTTTTGATTTATGAATTTTAGGCACTTTGGCCTTTTGCTAGGATAAGATTTTAACTTCACTCATTTAAATGTGCACTGGCTATGACTACCTCCACCCACACTGAGCTATAAGGGAAAAAAATAACAGCAATAACTAATGCCGGTGAGTATGCAGAGAACCAGATCTCTCAAACAGTGCCCTTTATTGAGTTGGGGAAAACCTATCTTGGCTTTATAATTATTTTAAATGATAACACCCAGGTATGGAGGCAGTAAGTTGGTAAAGTTTTGCAGGGCAATTGACAATATAGTCAAAAGTCTTTAAAAAACATGCAGCCCTCCAACCAAGAAATCCTAACAGTAAATGGATGAATGCAAGTATTGTTTATAATTATAATAAATTAAAAGGCTGAGTGGTTTTATTAATTTCAGGCAAAACAGAATCAAGATCTATTAAAATTAGCAGGGATAAAAAGGGATTGCATGTGCCCTAGCTAGTTTGGCTCAGTGGATAGAGCATTGGCCTGCGGATTAAAGGGTCCCTGGTTTGATTCTGGTCAGGGGCACATGCCTGGGTTTCGAGATCGATCCCCAGTGGGGGGAGCGTGCAGGAGGCAGCCGATCAATGATTCTCATCATTGATGTTTCTCTCCTGTCCTCTCTGAAATCAATAAAAATATATTTTTAAAAAAGGGATTGTATGTAATGATTATTAAAAACAAGTCAATGTACCAAGAAGACATAATAATCCTAACTATGAATGTACCTAACAATAGAATCTCAAAATAAAACAACTCAGTACTGACAGTAATGGACACATCTGCAGTTATAGTTGGAGACTTTAACTTCCTTCTCTCAACAACTATAGGACCACTAGATAGAAAGTCACCAGGAATATAGAAAAGATCAAATCAACAGGATCTAATTGACATTGACAGAATAGCCCATCAAACAACAATGTTACACACATTCTCTTAAGCACCCATCATACATGCATTAAAACAAACTGTACCCTGGGCCACAAATTTAAAAATTAGCAAAAGACATGGGTACATATTTTACTGATGAGCATAGATATATAGCAAACACATGAAAAGCGTTTCAACATCCCTAGCCGTTAGGGAAAAGAAAATTAAGATCACGTTGAGAGACTAGCTGGAGAGAACTCTGATAACCAAGGACAGAAAGCAGAGACCGCATAGAGACTGGTAGGAAGGATGGAGACTAGAAAGGGCTGGCCGGACTACCACAGACAGCAGCTGAAGTTCTGGAGGGATATCTCAGCGGTGGGCGGAGGGGGATGTTGCCATTGAGAATTCTGGGGTCTAATCCCCCCCCCTCCCCCCCGCACTGGGCCTCTCATCAGGGAGCACCAGCACTAAGAAAGGTGCCCAATAACACCTGGCTCTGAAAAGCAGCAGGGTTGCTGTCTGCCAGAGAAAGATGATTGGAAATGCAGGGACCCTCTTAAAGGGCCAGCACACAAACTTTCCAGCTCAGCCATTCATTTGTTGCTCTGGCAGCAGGAAGGCAGAGTGGCCTGGGGCTGTGTGAGCAGAAGCCAGGGTTGGGGGCTCTGGGGTTGGAGCTCAGAAGGCAGATACCTTGGCTTCCTGTGCGGAGTCACGCCCTCATGCCGGGCAGGCCATCTTTGTTATCTAAGCAGTTTTTGCCTGGGGGAAGACAATTGACCCAACCTATTGGGAAAAGTCTTTTCTCCGTGGTATGGTATGGAGTTTCTAAGATCCATTAAGAGACTGAGAATAAAAATCAGCCTCCATGCAGAAACAATTGCCCCAACAAGTTGGAAAACCTCTTGACACACATGTGGACACACCCCCAGTGGAGGGTGTGCAGGAGGCAGCTGGTCGATGATTCTCTCTCATCAATGTTTCTAGCTCTCTATCCCTCTCCCTTCTTCTCTGTGAAGAATCAATAAAATATATTTTAAAAAATTAAATCATAATGCCCATTGGATTACAGAATAGGAAAGCATCTGAAGGGGTTCAGAACAGTCCTTCCCAAATGTGCTGCTTTGGCGCGTGAATTATTTTGAGCTGAAAGCAAATAGAGACCCTGTTGGCTCAGGAGAAATTTTTATCTTTCCCTAAAATAATTTAAGTGAGGGGCCTTGCCCATAATATCAATAAGAAGTATCACTAGAGATAATAATTTAAAAAAAAATCCTCACCCACGGATATTTTTTCATTGATTTCTAGACAGAGTGGAAGAGAGAGGGAAAGGCAGAGAGAAACATCGATGTGAGAGAAACACATCGATTGGTTGCCTCCTGCACCAGCCCCGACCACAGGTACATGGCCTTGACAGGAACCAAACCCAGGGCCCTTCAGCCCACTGGCCAAGGCAGTGAGCCAAACCGGACAGGGCAAGAAAGGTGCGTTTTTATGGCTTATCTGGAGGGCAGGGAGAACAGCTAATGACTGAACATCTGCCCTTCTCATCATCCCGCCAATGACCGTCCTTCCCTCGGAAGCCCCCCGGGGCCTTATCTCATCCTTAGCTCAGCCCGTCTCACATGCCCCCCTTCCCCTTCCCGTCTCTGAACCTCTGGTGCACACGGGGTCTCTGTTCGTCCCTGTACGAAACACCCTCCTTTGTACATATGCCGTTCCATCTGGTCACTTCCTCTGGCTCCTCTGCCTCATGTCTATGCAGTGATCAGACCGGCTGAGAGAACCTGGACGGGTAGGGGAAAGTTACACACACACACACACACACACACACACACACACACACACACACACCCGCACACTGACGTAAAAAGATTTAGGGACGCCTTACGCATTCAAAGCTGGAAAAGTTCCCTGGCCTTCTCGAAGTTTCTACATAGACAGAACCCTGAAACCAACCGTGCGTTTTCCTGCAGACGGACGCTGTGCGTGGAGGGAGGGGCAGGCAATGGCCGCCCAGACACAGGCCCCCCAGGGAACCAGCCTGCTCATGCTACTGAAATGACACCGTGACACAGTCTCCTTCCCACGAGGCTTACACGCCTCAGGGGGTACGCGTTGGGAAAGAAAAGATCTTTTGAAAAAGCTTTTGTGTTTTCTTTACAGAAGCAGCAATAACACGTTCACCGTGGGCAACAGTAAGGGCCGCAGTAAGCTAAAAGAAGGCTATTTAAAAGCCCCCGTAATTTTCACCCTCCGGAGAGCTCCCCCGTCCGCATTTGGCTGTATCCCCGTCCGAGCTGATTGCTCTGCCTGGTTACGTCACCGGGGACATGGTTTTGTCACCGGCCCCTTTCGAGTGAAATTTGGGGAAGAAGCATATCCGGGAAGTGACAGTTCTCAGAAGAATCGCTGATAGATTGGGATGAGGTTGCTGACTCACCTGCTTTGGCCACAGCCACTCTCTTTAAGTGCCTCTGAGATGAAGGCAGACACTTTTAGGAGGCCAATGCCTTATTCATTAGGCTACTGGTGAAGGCAGACACTTTTAAATGACAATTCTCTATTTTTTAATTTCTTTTTAAATAAGCCCATGATTTTCTTTGTTGCCATGGGTGCATGCTTTCACACGATTCAAGATGAATCTCCTTTATTCCCCTGGGGGGAGCCTAATTATCCAGTGATGGGAGCTAACGGCACAGTCTCTCAGGGAACAGTGACATTATCTTACAGAGGTAGAAGAGGCGTCTGCAATGCCTTAATCCAATCCCCTTATTTCATGGGTCAGACTATTGAGGTCTCAGCTAGATGGAACTGGACGTGGGCCAGGAAGCTGGCAAATGGCACATCGGAAGTCCCCAGAAACGATCTGCACATTTCCCAAATGACTTTGTCTTGTGGAAACAGCATGACCAGGAAGAACAGAGAGTGGTATAGCACTGAGACAAGGTAGGTACCCCTACTGTGAACATGGAACTGAAGGCGCCCCCAGCTGTGTCCTCCATCCCTTCACAGGGACCCATGCAACCCCAGTAGAAACTGGTCATGGGAGCTGATGAAAGAACAGAATCTCTGAGCTGGCGAGGTCAAGGCCAATAGGAAAGGGAGAAGGAGGATGAGTATAGAACTAGGACGAGGAGGCTGTGATGGGGTGAAACTGGAGAAGTCAAATGACTATTCAAGTCAGGAATAAACCAGTGATTAGGCGCTTGTCACCACGGAAACAGAGAGAGCTATGAGGGGCAAGGCCAGGCCAGGAGAAAAGACGAAGGAGGATATTATTCCTTACCTTTTTATCTAAGGAATGGCTCATGGCTTCTCCATGTGGAGAGCTGCTCTCCACTGCTCC